TTCTGTGACATTTTAAAACGCAGTTCAAATTCTCCCCTTATGTCTATCACAGAGGGCTACTTACTGGTCTCTCCATGCTTTTCCCTAAGACAGAAATGCCTCGTATATTTAGCCTGGTTTTTTCTCAAATACTCCAAAGCCAAAAAGGACCATTCATTCATATCACAAGTGGAAAAATGTCTTGTCTAAGGTTCTCTAGTTTCCTGAGCTCAAAGTTCATCTTTCCTCACAAATATCATATATTGCCATACTTTTCCCCTCTTTAGATAGAGAGAAAACTTTCTCATAAATAAGATTTTTAAAGAGCAAATTTAAATAACGCAAAAACCAAAAGCCCAAAATCTAGAAGGAGTACTATGGGAAAAGACCAACAAAAAGAGCTTGTTTAGAAGAGAGAAATAAAGGGCCCACTGCTTAGGGGAGATGCTGTAACATCCAGAGATGAAGGGACATCGCAGGCCCACTCAAGGGACATAACCTTCAAACTGAGGTTAAAACTCTGACAACAGGCAGTGAACACCTAACATAAGCTGCACAGATACAGGACAGCTGCAGAATACAGAGCTAAGCTCGAAAATAGTTTTCTAACCAAACTAATTTCCCTCCATGATACTGAGGAAACTTTCGGGTCTGATTTAAAAACTACTGTTAAAGCTGGGTGTGGTGGTGCACGCCTTTGATCCCAGCACTTGGGAAGCAGAGGCAGGTAGGTCTCTGTGAATTCAAGGCCAGCTTGGTCTACATAGTAAATTCCAGGCCAGCTGGGACTACAAGGAGACCCTGTCTCAAGAAAGACCAAAAAAAAAAACATAAAAATAAAAAATTAAAACTACTGTTAAATAGTTTCACAACCTTGACATAGAGCTAGAAGATCAGAAATTATAGAATACACCCTCAATTTTCAAAAGCAGGGACATGTACCCCTCCCCTGAGCTGAAGCGGTGTCCCCTCACTTGAGCCTGAAGCTTTGGTCCCCAGCTGTGAGCTGCAGTTCCACGTTCCTCGCTGGTGGTGGGCTGATGGTGGAGCAGACTGAAGGATGGAGGACTTTATGATGTTGGACAGCTGGGTGCTGGACTCCTCACAGCCTCCTCCTCCCCAAGGTCCCAGGCTTTGCCTCTGCGTTGGATTTATGCTGGGAACAGAAGAGGTCTCTGTCCTTTGCAGACTCTTGTCTTGGAAGGACTGATTCTCTAGAATGAACCTCTCAACTCCCTTGATGCCCAGCTATGGTTGTGACCTAGGCACCCAGGTCTTGACTTTGGACATTTCCCAATCTCAGGCACCAAGAGGCTTTGCATCATTTTTCTATTGCTCTTCTATATCCCAAGTGTGTCTTCACCTGTTCCCTAAAGAAAATGTAAATCACATGGCTGGAGAGACGACTCAGTGGTTAAGAGCACTGGCTGCTCTTGCAGAGGACCTAGCTTCAAATCCCAGCACCTACATGGTGGCTAACAACCATCAGTAACTCCATTTCCAGGGGATCTGAAGCCCTCTCCTGACCTCCATGGGCACTGCAGGGAACAGGTGCACTCACATACATGAAGGTAATACATTCATACGTAAAATAAAAATAATAAAATCTTTTTTTGGAAAAGAAAATAAAAATCACCTAATTGAATTTCTAGAGATAAAAATCACAGTCTTGGAAATTAAAAGTAAAAAATTTTAACTTAAAAGGGGGACATGCAGATCCAGAAAAGCAACTATGGATAAACTTGGCACCTATCTGCTGAAAAATTCTAGAGTGGGTAAATAAGTATTTTTACAAACACAAGAGAGTGAGAGAGGCTGAGACCATAGGCTCCTCATGGTGGTCTGCTCCCTACAACATTCCTTTGTCCATGAAGATGGAAAAGGGGGACCTGACACAGATATTTACATAACTGGTTCAGACCAAATCTTTTAAAGATAGTCTGGCAAACAAATTGGAAAATGCTGAACAGCAAAAGCTTGAAAATCTATTAAACTCAACTAAGAGGATGCAGAGCTTGAACATCTGGTTGACTAATGAATCAAGGAACTGAGTTTCCAGTAAACACCCAGGATTCCCTCCTTTCCCACTATCTAGATAACCTCTATAGATAAGAGCCATAGGCCATATGCACAAGTACCACAAAGCTCTCTCTGAGTGACACACACAGACTCCAGAAAGGTCAGAGAAGGCTGATGATCTGAACCCCAAAATGACAGCAGGGCATCCAGGTCAGTATTTAGATATTAAAGTTCAAATACATCCTTAAGTAACTTCAGTTTACATGGGAAATATATGGACAAGAAAAGTTACTAAACTGGGTGTGGTGGCACATGCCTTTAATCTTAGGACTCAGGAGGTAGAGACAGGTGGATCTCTGTGAGTTCCAGGCCAGCCTGTTCCACATAGTGAATTCTAGGTCTGCCAGGACTACATAGTGGGACCCTGTCTCAAAATCAAAAACAAAACAAACAAAAATAGCTACTAAAAGACCTAACGTAATTTCAAGCTGCATTAATAAATGCATATCGTATGCCCACACTGGATTACTATAGTTCTCAAATTCATTGATATAAATTTGCATTTTTATTAAGAATATTTTCATTGTTCTAGAAAGTTGGAACAAGAATCTGCAAATATGGACTGGAGAGATGGCTCTGAGGTTAGGAGCACTTGCAGGTCTTGTAGAGAACCTGGATTTATTTCCCAGTACCCACATGTAGACTCACAACTATCCGTCCTCCAGGTTCAATGATTCTGGCACCCTCTTCTGGCCTCAGCAGGCACTGCATGCACCTGGTGCACATACATACATTCAGGCAAGACACACACATAAAATTTCTAATTTTTTTAAAAAGAATTTGCAATTAACATTTAGTTAAAACTCTAGCTTTAGCTGGCATGGTAGTATACACCTCTAATCTCTGCACCAGGGAGGCAAGGGCAGGCAGATCTCTGTTAATCTGAGGCAGCCTGGTCCACGTAGAGTTCCAGACCAAGCCAGAGTTACATGGTGAGAACCTGTCTAAAGTCAAAACCCTCTAGTTTTAGACCTAGAGTTATTTAAGTATACCTTCTCCCTTGAAAACATCTTTAAACAGCCTAGTTTATTTGCATGTATCAGTAAGAAATATTCCTAAAGGAAAGTTCAGATATTAAATCCAAGTCGGTTTTAATAGAACAAACAGAAAAATCAAGTGACCTGCCCCAAGTTACACACAGCAGTGGTCATAGCTTCTAATGGGCCCCCTAATTTCCACGCCACTTGGGTCTCCAGTCTCTTTGTCCCTTCTCAAAACCTGTCCTATGCACTGAGAAATTAGAACTAGTATACAAAAGCATCCAACCACAAACACTGTGTTTTGCTAACAATAAATGAACTTAGCAAAAAACAACCAAAATACATCAGCTGGTAAAATATTTTGACAAGGTCACTTACAGGTTTGATAATCAATATTTGTTACCCAAAAAAAGGCACTTCAATATACAACCAGCTTGTATTTCTAATAAAGTGTGATTACTTATTAAAGCATTATCTCATAGTCCAGTTACTATTAGAAAAACAAGTGATTTCCTGGGTAGAAATGCTTTTAATGGACATGCCATTGTTACCTGTTCTCAAATGCCTTCTCCCTTCATAAAACATACTATATGAAAATTATTTAAAAGGTGGAGTTTTTTCCCAGACCAAACAGCAAGTCAAAAGCTTTTCACAGATGGCAGTATAAGCTCTGTGCTAAACCCTCTAGCTGCCCATCACTCTCCCAGAAACAATGCCCCCTTGGAGAGCCCAAAGGTACAAAGGTGGTCTGGCAGGCAGTCTAGCAGACTCCCGGTGGCTCTCGGGTCCATCCTTCCTCCCCCTTCAACTCTAGTTAAAAGGACAAGTGGGGGACTGAGACATGATAAAAGGACCAGTGAGCAAGGACTGGCTTATGACCACTAGCATCTGCTAGGCCAGATACAGGAGGACTGACCCAGCCCCAAATGAGACCTGGATGCCTTTCCTTGCCCCAGGGCTCCTCTGGGACCCCTTTAGAAAGGACTAGGAACTTTACAGCCCAGTCCCCTCCTCCCCAGTGTCATCCATTAAAGCCTCAGCAAGCTCTTTGTTTCCAACAGCTGTGGGAGGGCAGGCGGCCTTGGAGCAAGGCGAGAGGTCACTCACTCCCTGGCTTCCCTGGCTGCCAATCTCCAGGCCCTACTGGAAAACACACACGGACTCATTCCCTCTGTTTGCACACCACCTTAATTAACCTGGGGTTACACCAGCTACATAGGGGCACTCTCTGAAACCTAATTACCTTTCTATACCCAAATCCTACACGAGATGACTCCCTAGCTCCCTCCTTCTGTCAAACTGGGTTCTCAGATGGACTCTCATTTCTTCCCGCTCCAAGCATGCTCCAGGGTGGCTACCTGAGTCCTGGGCTTTGTTCATATACATATAAAAGCACAGGGTTACTTCCTGGGTCCTGGGTCTCTCCACTGGCCAGAGTCAAAGACCGGTGACGCTCCAAGGCCCCATTGCACCCCTGAACAAACACTGGAACATGCTAAATAGCCACCCGTTCCTTTTACCCACATGACCCCTCTGAGACCCTGTTGCCCTAAGGATTTTCTCTCTCTCTCTCTCTCTCTCTCTCTCTCTCTGCCTGGCCGGCCTCTCCTCCCCGGATCCTTCACAACACTAGCACGCGCTCTCCAGCACATCCACGATCACGCGGGGCAGTTCGCGGGTGTCAGCCTCATCTGCCCCCCACGCCGCGGGGCCGCCCTCGCCTGGTCACTGGACACCCGCGGACGCACGCACGGCCACTCCCCATCCCAACGCGGGTCCCCAAGCCCGCACCGCTCGCTCGCGTCCCGCCCTGCGCCCGGCTCCCGGGACCCTCGCCCCCCCCCCACCAGCCCAAGGCTGGGGACCACCGTGGGGATCCTCCCGGGCCCAGCTGCGGGGAACCGGGGCGCAGGCAGGGCGGCGGAAGGGAGGAACCCCGGGACGGGAGCCCGCTGCTCCTACCTGAGCAGTTGATGCTCCTGCCTCTGCCTCCGGGACAGTCCCCGCCGCCGCCCGGGGGCTGGTTGGACGCGCGGCTGCCGGGCAGGGAGAAGGCGAAGAGCAGAAGCACCGACGTGTAGCAGCAGACGCCGAGCGGGGGCGCGGCCGGCAGCCCGAGCGGCGCCTCGGAGCCCATGGCTGGCGCGCCCGGACGGCGGGAAGCGCGC